TCGAACCCATGGGCTCAGGCAATCCACTCACCTCGGCCTCCCAAAGCGCTGGGATGACAGGCTGAGCCACCGAGCCCGGCCCAAGGAGCCGTTTAAAGAGTGCACGTGACCATGTGATTTTTCTCAGTGGAGATTTCCAACTCTGCACATTTCCCTTCCTTCGTGTGGAAGTGAGGCGTTCAAGCAGGTGCGCCCCCAGCCCGCACGAACCCTCCTGTCTGCGTCTGAGGAAGGGGGTCCTGCGTCCTCTCCCCGGCTTTTCGGCACAACTCACGGCAGAAGTGGGGTTTCCTCCAGGGCTTCACGGCGTAGCCAGCGTCCTGGCAGGCCGAGGTCATGGCCGACATATGAGCACACAGCATGTGCTGTAGCCCCTGGAAGCTGCACATGTCAAACAGGCAGTTGTCAAAGAAGGAGGCGGCCTTCAGGTGAAGCAGACAGGTCCTGAGGGGGGAGGCTGAGTCAGGGGGAATGAGGAGACAGGACCTCGGAGGACTTCAGGTGCCGAGTAGCCCCGGGTGGCCCTGCCTGCCCTCCTTCATACGCAAATGGGCCGTGGGTGTCGACCAGCTGTCCACAGAACTCTGGCCCCGACATGCTGTTCTGCAAAGCTGAGTCGCAGGACGGGAGATTCACCCGGGTATGCTGGCACCTAGAAGAGATCCACCACAAACGCCCTAAGGACCGAGGCTTGCTTCCGGCTGGCCCCTAAGGTTGACCGGCCGCCGGCAGCTCTCTGTGACCGCTTGAGGAGGACATTTGAGCACTAAGCAGGAGTGGGAACAGCCTGAAGTCTCCAGAGTAGAATGCAGACAAGCGCAATGCCAGTCGGTCTTAAAAAGGAGGCCCAGGGCCGGGCACGGTGGCTCACACCTGTAGTCCCGGTACTTTGGGAGGCCTATGTGGGAGAATCACTTGAGCCCCGGAGTTTGAGACCAGCCTCCCGGGCAACATAGTGAGAGCTCGTCTCTAAAAAAAAAATTAGAAAATTGGCTGGGCACGGTGGCACACGCCTATAGTCCCAGTTGCTCAGGAGGCTGAGGTAGAAGGATCCCCCGAGTCCAGGAAGTCAAGGCTGCGGTGAGCCGTGAGGGTGCCACTGCACTCCAGTCTGGGCGACAGAGTGAAACTCCGACCCCCCCAAAAAAGGAAGGCCAGGGAGGGCATGAGACGCCCCTGGGCCTGGGTGGGAGGGCGCCTTACTCCCGGTCCTCGTCCTCGGCTGTCTGCCAGCTGTTCCCCAGCTCCTCCTCGTCTCGTGCTGGGCTGCCGTCCGGTTTCAGGTGGTCGTTGTCACCGTTGCCGTCATAGTTTCCACAGAAACCGCAGAGTTTGTTAAAGTAGATGCTGGAGACGGGAGAGGAGCTGGTGTTAAGAGGGCGGAGGGGCCTCAGGCATCGAGGGTCCGCAGTGCAGACGGCAATGAGCTGGGCCCCAAGGCGCGAGGCTCCAGGAGGATGAGGAGGTGTGGCCTGGATGCCAGGACCCCCCAGCCCGCCCCAGTCGTCATCCTCGCCGCCCACACTCCATCCTTTGGCTGCAGTAAGCCCCTCGCGGGCCTTAAAACTCTCAGGCTTATTTCTGCACGTGCTGTCCATGGTTTCTATAAAGCCTTTCTGTCTTGTTTCGTCCATCCAGGGAGGTGCTCTTCTTTGGAGAATGGGATCAAGGGATCGCTTTTCTGAAAGCCCTGCAGCCCATTAGTGACTCCTTCTAGCATGTTCCCAGAGCATTGTGTGCACATCCTGCTATGGATCGCACCACCCTGAAACCATTTCCTCCTGTCTCCGAAGGAAGGCCTGCCGCTGGAGCTGGCCACTTCCCACCCATCGAGAGGTACTTACATGGCCAAGTGGTGGTGCCTGGACTGGAAGGGGAAACGGGCAGCAGGAGTGAGTGGCAGCTGCCTGCCTGGGACGCCCCCTCACCTGGACACAGTCACATCCAGCTGCTGGTCGCCATCCCATCTCACCCGCAGTCCAAACTCCGTCTGCAGCTCCACAAATCGCCCACTGGCACCCAGGAAGACGCCTTTGGAAGGCATGGCTGGGAGGGTGATTTGCTGACCCGCTACCTGGACGGGGGCAGAGGGAAGAGACGGAGAGACAGATCTGGGAGTCAAGGAGGACCCCGACAGACTTCCACACCCACAGCTGAAAGGCGCGACATCATCCATAGCGGCCTGACAACCTCTCCTACCTCGAGTGGATTGAGCTTCACCACCATGGTTTTGTTTTTAGAGATGAGCTCTCGCTCTGTCTCCTAAGCCGGAGTGCAGTGGCAAATCAGAGTTCACGGCAGTCTTGAACTCCTGGACTCCAAGGATCCTCCCACCCCAGCTTCCCGAGCAGCTGGGATTACAGGGCCTTGTGGACAAGGCCACAGCAGCCCGCAGGAACGGGCCACGGCCAGGCCCAGCAGGGTGGGTGGGGACAGGGCTCACCAGCACACGTCTGCCCTTGAGTAGGGTGATGGTGGTCTCCAGCAGGGTCACGTAGACTTTGCTCAGGCAGGACACGCCTTCCTGTCCCCATTCCTCATTCTTCGCCGTCACCCTAAAGAATGGATCTGGGCGGGGAGAGGGATGAGGAGAGTCTAGGGGCTCATTCAAGAGGTGTGTCTGAGTACCTGCTACGGGTGGTGCCCCGAGCCTGGCACAGTGAGGACAGAGGGCCCCACACACCGGCCCGCGGTTCAGCGGGGAGGCAGGACCCAAATGGGAGCGGGGCACAACTGTCTGCCCTTTTCCAGCACAGCCCGTAACTGCTGTGTGTCTGTCTCCCCTCCATGGACTGGACATGCTCCCGGGCATCGGCACTCCTTTACAGACCCTTTGAGGCACCTGCCGCCATGCCAGGCAGACCCTCGACAAAAGCTGACTGAGGAAGCAACTGATGCAGAAGGGTTTTTTTGGTTTGTTTTTCGTTTTTTTGAGTCGGAGGTCTCACTCACTCCATCGCTCAGGTTGGCATGCCATGGCATGCTCACGGCCACCCCAGCGTCGACCCGCTGGGCTCCAGCGATCCTTCTGCCTCAGCCTTCCCAGGAGCCAGAACTACAGGTGTGCACTACCACTCCCAGCTAATTTTTGATTTATTGTAGAGACGAGGGCTCGCCAAGTTGCCCGGGCTGGTCTCAAACCCTCGGGTTCAGGCAGTCCACTCACTTCGGTCTCCCAAAGTGCTGGGATTACAAGCTGAGCCACCGAGCCTGGCTTTTTTTTTTTTTTTTTTTTAATTTAAGAGACAGGGTCTTGCTCTGTCACCCAGGCTGGAGTGCAATGACAATCATAATTCACTGCAGTCTCAAACTCCAGGGCTGAAGAGATCCTTCTGCCTCAGTCTCCCAAGTAGCTGGGGCTACAGGCGTGTGTCACCACACCTGGTTAATTTTTTGGAGATACGGGGTCTTCCTACAGTATCCAGGCTGGTCTCAAACTTCTGGCCTCAAGCGATCCTCCCACCTCAGCCTCCCAAAGTGCTGAAATTACAGGCGTGAGCCTCTGCACCTGGCCAAGAGAACTATCTTTTTTTTTTTTTTTTTTTTAGTTGGAGTCTCACTCTGTCACCCAAACTGGAGTGCAGTGGCCACTCCCAGCCACCGCAGCCTCGACCTGCTGGGCTCTGGCAATCCTTCCGCCTCAGCTTTCCAAGTAACTGGAACTACAGGCACACGCTACTGCACGCCCGGCTAATTTTTTGATTTATTGTAAAGATGAAATCTCTCCAAGTTGCCCAAGTGGGTCTCGAACCCCCGGGCTCAGGCAATCCACTCACCTCAGCCTCCCAAAGCGCTGGGATTACAGGCTGAGCCACCGAGCCCGGCTAAGAGAACTATCTTAAACCACATTTTCCCCAGTAGTCTGGGCCTGAGAAAGTTCTGCCTCTGGGCTGGGTGTCTCAACCCTCACCTTATAGAAGAGCTTGCTCTAATTCTGCCTTTCCCCCAACTGTTCCCTGCCCCTTCTTGCCATCCACTGTTCCTCTATGCCCAGCAGCTCCGTCCACAGAAACCCTCATTCCCACCCTCAAACCATGGCAGGCATCTCCAGGGCCCTACCTGTTGAGTTGCCACAGGGTTGGGCCAAGATGTAGGTGCATCTACCCATGAAGCCAAAGTGCCTCCCATCAAAGGTGACATAATGAGGGTCTCCATAGACCAAGCAGGTGGCAGTGCCTGCTGAGGGGGGAAAGGGAAACAGGTGAAGCTGCTTCCTACGTGCTAGCCTACCCGCCCAGTGGCACACCCCAGTTCCTCTGCTCCAGTGAGGGATCGGGATCCTGGTGTCACTTCCACCCCAACAGGCTGGCGGGCAGGATCAGCCATGAGCGGGGCTCTCACCATAGGCATGGCATCCATACTGGCCATTCTTCGGCTGGCACACTGTGTTTGTCTCACACTGTGAGGTCTGGCACTCAATCCTACCACCAGGCCAGCAGTGGCAACGTTCTGTGCAGTTGGGGTTGAACCACTCTGTCCCAGGCTGGGAGCAAGGGATCCAGAGTCACAAAACCACAGCCCTTAAGGCCCTTCCCCCCTCCCTCTGCTATGCCTGAAAGAGAGGATGCGCTCCCACAAAAAGATTCACCTTGCTATACCCTTTCTCTTCCCATCACCTACCTGATATTCCCACCCACCACAGGGCATTTGCATGTGCTGTTTTCTCATCCTAGAATGCTCTCCTCTTCCCTTTTCTACAACATTTTTTATGCAACCAGTGGAATCAGTTCAAAGATAGCTTTCACAGAAAGATTTCTTTCCTCAACTCTGGGTACCTTTCCTTCTGAGGACTTATCACAGTTGCACATTTACTTATTTTTGTGGTTGATTGTAAGCACCCCAGGTGAGGGGTTATGTCTTTATTCGCCATCTTAGCTCTGATATGTGTGCTCTTATTCAATGAACACTTGCTGAATAAAAGAATAGACTGCTGAGCACAGTGGTTCAAGCCTGTAATCCCAGCACTCTGGGAGACTGAGGCGAGAGGATTGCCTGAGCCTAGGAGTTTGAGACCCGCCTGGGCTACTTGGTGAGACCTCGTCTTTACAATAAATTAAAAAAATAAGCCAGGCATGGTAGCAGGCGCCTGTAGTTCCAGCTACTTGGAAAACTGAGGCGGAAGGATCGCCTGAGCCCAGCAGGTCGAGGCTGCGGTGACCATGAGCATGCCACTGCACCCCAGCCTAGGCGACAGAGTGAGACTCCGACTCAAAAAAAAAAAAAGAGAAAACTAAGAACAAGGACCGTGTCTTATTCATGGTGATCCCAATGCCAGAAGAACAGAAAGTACTAAATAAACATTTGTTGAATGCATAAATGAATGTATCAGAAGTTAATATATGCCTCGCAGGTAGGGGAAAGAGATTCCTGGTGCTGACGGTCGTGAGAACTCCTTGCCCAGGCTGTGGCTGACTAATCTGAACACTGATTCAGGGAGACCCAGGAGACTGGTTAAAGGGGGTTTGGGGAGAAAGTGGTCCCAAAAGGGACAAGTGGGAGCTCTGTTGTCAATGGGGAGAACACCTGGAGCTGAGAAGAGGTACTGGACACTAATGAACAGCTTAATGTACTTTTAATTAATGGGTTGCATGTGATATTTATCATACGTTGCTAATCATAATAATAATTAACCTCATTAGATAATTGGTATGTGTCAGGATCTAATTTCATCTTTACAACAATCTTATATGAGGTAGAAAATCTTATTGCGAACACTTTATAGATATGGAAAGAGATTTAAAGAGATGAAGACACTTGCCCAAGGTCACCCAGTAAAGAGTGCTAGAGCCGGAATTCAAGACCCTCAACTCTGGGTACCTTTGACTCTAGACTTGCATTGTACAATATGGTGGCCACCAGCCAAGTGAGTTCTTGGAACATGACCAGTCTGAATTGAGATATGTTGTAAGTGTAAAATATCTATTGGATTTTGAAGACTTTAAAGAATGTAAACTAGCCGGGATTCGTGGCTCAGCCTGTCATCCCGCGCTTTGGGAGGCTGAGGTGAGTGGATTGCCTGTGCCCGCGGGTTCGAGACCCGCCTGGGCAACTTGGCGAGACCTCATCTCTACAATAAATCAAAAAATTAGCCAGGCGCGGTAGCGTGCGCCTGTAGTTCCAACTACTTGGAAGGCTGAGGCGGAAGGATCACCGGAGCCCAGCAGGTCGAGGCTGCGGTGGCTGGGAGCGGTCACTGCACTCCAGTCTGGGCGACAGAGTGAGACTCCAACTCAAAAAAATAAATAAATAAAAATAATGTAAACTATCTCATCAATAATTATTACTGCCGGGCTTGGTGGCTCAGCCTGTAATCCCGCGCTTTGGGAGGCCGAGGTGAGTGGATTGCCTGAGCCCGCGAGTTCAAGACCCACCTGGGCAGCGAGACCTCATCTCTACAATAAATCAAAAAAT